GATCCAGCATCTTCGCAGATTTTGCTGATCCCGCTCCACCACATATTGCTCGCTGGATATGGCCAGCGGATTCTGGGTCGTCCCCATGACAGACCGGGCTCGCGAGGTCTCATCTCAGCAGTTATCACCCCGTTTGGATTATTCGAATGGAGCCGCATGCCTTTTGGCCTAAAGAATGCCCCGCAGATTTATCAACGCCTCGTAGACAACGCGCTGTATTGAGTTTTGAAGATCTCGCGATCTAGCGACGCCGGGGCTACAACGGATGTATTCCAGACAGGGATCGCGGACGATCCTGATCGCGAGTCAGTGTTGGGACGGAGATCATACATTGGCGACATCATGATCGCAGCGGAATCGTGGGATCAAATGTGTCGGAGGGTGGAAGATCTGTTGGAGGCTTGCGATAAGTGGAATTTGTCGATCAGTGTAGCCAAGAGCTTTTGGGGCATGGATGAGGTGGGATATCTGGGACACCGAGTGTCGATCGGAGATCTGGAGGCGAACCCGAAAGACCTGAAATCGTTGACCGATCTGCCATTCTCCGGATCTCTGCGATCTATGCAGTCATTCCTGGGCAGTCTAAATTACTACAGCCGATTCATCGAAGATTATGCCATCAATGCCTCGGTACTCTACGAATTACGTGAAGTGGAGTTTGCAGAAGTGGAGAAACGATCAGATCTGAGGGAGATCTCAAGATCCGATTGCTCGAGATCATGGCCTACCGGCACTGAAGTTGGCGGAACCATTGGATGGGAGGTGAATCAGGGCGCATAAGGCCTTCATCACGCTGAAGGCCAAGATCGAGACAACGCCGATTCTCCGCGACTTCGACGAGACAAGAACGCCGGTAGTTATCGTATATGTCAGTGATTGGGCGATATCCGCCTCGTTGACGCAAGAACACGACGGGATCTATCATCCGGTGGCGTTCGCCATTCGTACCTTGAAGACAAACGAGCTGGATTACAATGTGACTGAGAAGGAGGTGTTGGCATTGCTGAGGATCTTGGATCTCTATTACAATTTGCTGGTAGGACGCGAGATCCGGGTCCTATCGAGGCATTGCACGTTGGCCTGGCTGTTCAAGTCGACGGGATTACAGGGTCGCCTAGGACAATGGTCCGCCCTCCTGGCCCCGTAGATGCTCGAGATCACGAAGTGCGCGAAGGGCGAGGACGAAATACTGGGGGCGATCGCTGCCAGCATCACGCCGAGGGCGAAGATGGACGACGCTCTGACCGAGATCGCTCCACGGAAGGAACCTAAACGCCGGATCCAAGCACCGATACCCACCGTAGACCGAGAAGAGGAATTATGGGTGGTCAGTTTTGACGGATCCGCCCGAGTTAAGCGTGGTGGAGGCGCGTTCAGTGCGATCGTGTGGAGTTTGCCCGGATGGGAGGTAGTCAAAGCCAGATCGGGCTATCATGAGAGCCTCACCTTGAACGAAGCAGAATATAACGGCCTGATCCTGGGACTCGACATGCTAGAGGACCTAGATCACAAACGCCTAGTGATCTGCGGTGATTCCAACTTAGTGATCCGACAAGTACGAGGCGAGATCGATTGCAAAGCACCCGGGCTGACGCTACTGAAGCGGCAGGCCCTCGATCGCCTGAGGAAATGGAGAGTTCATGAGCTAGTGCATGTCAAGAGAGACTGGAATGGAAGTGCCGACAGTCTAGCGAGCGCCGCTTTGCAACGCCAAGGCGGGATCGAGGTCCAGAAGATGCCCGGGTACCAGGATCTGGTCACTCTGAACCGGTTAGACGAGATCCTCATTCCCAGGACCGAGAACCCAGTGGTGCGAGTTGCAGCGATTACCACGCGAGGCGCTCAAGTAAGATCGCCTGCGGGTGTCATGCAAGAGGATCTGATCCGGGATATGAGGGTCGATCGGATCAAGCAGGCCCAGGAGGAGGAAGTCTGGGTCGCAGGCATGAAGAAGTATCTGAGTGGATCGAACGCAGATCTCACACAAGCAGAAGCGAGATCGTACGGTAAGATCGCGGTCGATTACGAGGTGGACGAGCAAGATCTACTCTTTTACTGCCCTCCCACGCCGAGATCGGGGGAAGGTCGTGACCGATTGCTGAGACTAGTGGTCCCTGAAACTCTGCAATCAGACGTCTTACATCACTATCACACTACGTTGGAAGGAGGACATCAGGG